AAAACCATAAAGATGCTAAGGAGCTACAGAAAAATATTCAAGATCTAAGGGATGAATTCAAGAGAGAGACAGACAGTTTGAAAAATACAGTATCTGAAATGAAACATACAATGGAGGTATTTAAAAGCAGACAAGAAGAGATAGAGGAGACAGTAAGTGGAATGGAAATTAGAGAACAGAAATACAAAGAAACAGAGGCAGAGAGAGAAAAAATGATCTCTAGGAATGAAAAAATAATCAGATAACTCTCCAACCAATCCAAACAGAACGATATTCACATTATAGGGGTACCAGAAGTAGAAGAGAGAGAAAAAGGGATAGAAAGTGTCTTTGAAGAAATAAGTGCTGAAAACTTCCCCAATCTGGGCAAGGAAATAGTCTCTCAGGCCATGAAAGTACACAAATCCCCCAACACAAGGAACCCAGGGAAGATAACACCAAGACATATGATAATTAAAATGGCAAAGATCAAGGACAAGGACAGAGCATTAAAAGCAGCCACAGAGAGAAAAAAGATCACCCACAAAGGAAAACCCATGAGGCTATCATCAGACTTCTCATAAGAAACCTTACAGGCCAGAAGGGAGTGGCATGATATAGTTAATGCAATGAAACAGAAGGGCCTCGAACCAAGAATACTCTACCTGACAAGATTATCATTTAAATTTAAAGGAGGGATCAAACAATTTCGAGATAAGCAAAAGTTGAGGAAATTTACCTCCCACAAACCATTTCTACAGCGTATTTTTAAAGGGACTGCTCTAGATGGAAGTGCTCCTAAGGTTTAATAGCTGTCACCAGAGAAAATAAAACACAGTAAAGGAAGTAGACCAGTTAATTACTAATCAAATGCACAATTAAATCAACTACCTACAAAGTCAGTCAAGGGATACATAAAGAGTGGAGGAGAAAGAAAAAGAAGGAAGAAAAGAAAAGAATCTTTAGATTCTGTTTATAATAGCATAATAAATGAGCTAAGTTAGACTGTTAGATAGTAAAGAAGCTGCCCTTGAACCTTCGGTAAACACAAATCCAAAGCCTGCAATGGCAGTACGTATATAACTATTGATCATCACCCTAAATGTTAATGGACTGAATGCACCAATCAAAAGGCATAGAGTTACAGAATGGATTAAAAAGCAAGACCCATCTATATGCTGCCTAAAAGAGACTCACTTCAAACCCAAAGACATACACAGACTAAAAGTGAAGGGATGGAAAAAGATACTACATGCAACCAATAGGGAGAAAGAAGCAGGAGTTGCAGTACTGGTATCAGATAAAATAGACTTCAAAACAAAGAAAGTAACAAGAGACAAAGAAGGACATTATATAATGATAAAGGGCTCAGTCCAACAAGAGGATATAACCATTATAAATATCTATGCATCCAAGAAAGGAGCACCCAAATATGTATAACAAATACTAATAGAATTTAAGGGGGAAATAGAATGCAATGCATTCATTTCAGGAGACTTCAACACACCACTCACTCCAAAAGACAGATCAACCAGTCAGAAAATAAGTAAGGACACAGAGGAACTGAACAACACATTAGAACAGATGGACCTAACAGACATTTACAGAACACTCTACCCAAAAGCAACAGGATACACATTCTTCTCAAGTGCACATGGAACATTTTCCAAAATAGATCACATACTAGGCCACAAAAAGAGCATCAGTAAATTCAAAAATATTGAAATTGTACCAACCTACTTCTCAGATCACGAAGGTATGAAACTAGAAATAAATTGTGCACAGAAAACAAAAAGGCCCACAAACACATGGAGCCTTAACAACTTGTTCCTAAATAATCAATGGATCAATGACCAAATAAAAACAGAGATCAAGCAATATATGGAGATAAATGAAAAGAATAGCTCAACACCCAAATTCCGTGGGATGCAGCAAAGGTAGTTTTAAGGGGAAAGTGTATAGCAATACAGGCCTATCTCAAGAAAGAAGAACAATCCCAAATGAACAGTCCAAATTCACAATTAATGAAACTAGAAAAAGAAGAACAAATGACCCCAAAGTCAATAGAAGGAGGGACATAATAAAGATCAGAGAAGAAATAGATAAAATTGAGAAGAATAAAATAGAATTAATGAAACCAAGAGCTGGTTCTTTGAGAAAATAAACAAAATAGATAAACCCCTAGCCAGACTTATCAAGAAAAAAAGAGAGTCTACATACATAAACAGAATCAGAAATATGAAACAAAAAATCACTATGGACACCGCAGAAATACAAATAATTATTAGAGAACTATGAAAAATCATATGCTTACAAATTGTATAATCTAGAATGAACAACTTTCCATAAAAATACAACTTTCCAAGACTGACCCAGGAAGAAACAGAAAATCTGAACAGACCAATTACCAGCAATGAAATTGAATTGGTAATCAAAAAACTACCCAAGAACAAAACCCATGTACTAGATGGCTTCACTGCTGAATTTCATCAGGCATTTAGAGAAGACATTATACTCCTCCTTCTTAAAGTTTTCCAAAGACTAGAAGAGGAGAGAAACTTCCAAACCCATTCTATGAAGCCAGCATCACTATAATACCAAAACCAGGCAAAGACACCACAAATAAAGAAAATTACAGACCACTATCCCTCATTAACATAGATGCAAAAATACTCAATAAAATATTAGCAAACAGAATTCAAAAATACATCAAAAAGATCATACATCATGATCAAGTGGGATTCATCCCAGGGATGGAAGGATGGTACAATATTCAAATATCCATCAACATCACCACCACATCAACAAAAAGAAGGACAAAAATCACATGATCATCTCCATAGATGCTGAAAAAGTATTTCACAAAATTCAATGTCCATTCATGATAAAAACTCTCAACAAAATGGGTATAGAGGGCAAGTACCTCAACATAATAAAGGTCATATATGACAAACCCACAGCAAATATCATACTTTACAGGGAAAAGCTGAAAGCTTTTCCTCTAAGATCAGGAACAAGACAAGGATGTCCACTCTCCCCGCTTTCTATTCAACATAGTACTGGAAGTCCTAGTCACAGCAATCAGAAGACACAAAGAAATAAAAGGCACCCAAATAGGTAAGGAAGAAGTTAAACTGTCAGTGACTGCAAATGACATGATATTGTATATAACAAACCCTAAAGAATCTACTCCAAAACTACTAGAACTAATAACTGAATTCAGCAAAGTTACAGGATACAAAACTAATACACAGAAATCTGTTGCATTCCTATACACTAATGATGAACTAGCAGAAAGAGAAATCAGGTAAACAATTTCATTCACAATTGCATCAAAAAGAATAAAATACCTAGGAATAAACCTAACCAAGGAAGTGAAAGACCTATACCCTGAAAACTACAAAACACTCACAAGAGAAATTAAAGAATACACCAATAAATGGATATACATCCCGTGCTCATGGGTAGGAAGAATTAATATTGTCAAAATGGCCATCCTGCCTAAAGCAATCTACAGATTCAGTGCAATCCCTATCAAAATACTGACAGCATTCTTCAACTAGAACAAATAGTTCTAAAAGTCATATGGAACCACTAAAGTCCCCGAGTAGCCAAAGCAATCCTAGAAAGAAGAATAAACTGGGAGGATTGTGCTCCCCAACTTCAAGCTCTACCACAAAGCCAAAGTAATCAAGACAATTTGGTACTGGCACAAGAATAGACCCAGAGATCAATGGAACACAGTAGACAGTCCAGATTAAACCCACACATATATGGTGAATACAATACAATAATGGAGCTATGAATATGCAATGGGGAAAATACGGCCTCTGTATGGGGGATACAGTTAATGGTTCTGTAAGATCTTACTACTGTTGATAGATAGTAACCGCACTAGCTAGGATGAGGATTAATAATATGGGTAACTGTTGTACCACTGTGTTGTATATTTGAAAACAACAAAAGATTGTATATCAATGACACTTTAATGAAAAAAAATAGTAAGTCACAGGGATGTGATGCACTGCATAGGGAATATAGTTACTAATATTGTAATAACTTGTATGGTGACAGTAACTAAATTTATCTTGGGGATAATTTCCTAATGTATAAAATATGAAATCATTATGGTGTACTCCTGAAACTAACAGCATATTGTTATTTCAATTATTCTTCAATAAAGCAAGTGGAAACATGAAACTAAAGATTAAAGAAATAAAAAAAATACGGTTGTGGGCTTTTTCTATTCTTCCATATTGCTTCTTTTCTTTAAATTAAGACCCACCTCACCACTACCACCACCACCCTGGAATCGCTTCTTCTGCCTCATTTCCAAACCACTGAGTCATGTTATTATTATACATGTCTAGACTCCAGGTTTGGAGAACAGAGTGGAAGGAGTTTAGGATTTGGAATCAGAAAATCCAGATTCAGTTTACTTCTGTATGACATGGGGATTCTAGGGCTTTACCTGATGTCTCAGCTGTGTTTTCTCACCTGGAAAATGGCACACTAAGATTACCTCCCTCAAAAGATTAATGTGAGGACTGAGTATTATGCAACAAGAGCTTTGTAAATCCTCATGTGTCTGGCAAGTGTCAGCGGCCATCACCTTTAGGTATGTTGGCAGATATAGGCAGCTTTCAAAGGAAAATAAGAGAAAAACTGGTTTACTCTTGATCATGTTTGGTCAACCTAAATTTCTCTTTTAAAAATGTTTTTTAAAATTACTATTTAAAAGCCCTAGAGAGACAAAATAGCTATCAAAAAAAAACATTTCCCAAGTCCATCAAGCATTCATGTCATCCGGCAGATTTGGAAAGCTTTTACTCATGTGCAGAATTAACAAACCTTATGTCTCCATTCACAGGCACGTCAGAGAGCTAGAAAGGAGCTCAGGCCACCGGAATGTGGTTAGCAGTCACTAGACAAGAACCTGACCCCTTCTGCCCTGGGGCGGGGCCACAACCTTCAGATCGACTGCAATTGGCCCTAGCTCTTCCCTGAGGGACATTTAATGGTGAAGGAGGACGCTGCTAAGAGACCAGCCAGCAGGAAAAGGAGTAGCGAGGAGAGAAAAGTGGTTCAGCTTCCATCAGCGCCAAAAAGATTCAGGACAGACAGCAGGTGAGAAGCTGGAGATGTGCTTGTCACTAGGCTAAAAGGAAGTTTTCTGGACAGGCATCATTCAGAAGCAGTACAAAGGCGGGGGGAAGTAATTTTGTAGTCCAATCAGAGGCTTGAAAGGATTGAAAATTTCAGGAGTCAGTCCAGAAATCTCAGGAGTTCAATGACGAAGTTTGAAGAAATGCATACAGGTAATGGGACCCTTGTAGAAAAGAGCCAGCCGTACCTAGATGAGGAGAAGCATCAGGCAAACGGGAAACCAGTAGCAAATGGGAAGGCCAAGGACTCTGCAAAGCAGCAAGCAAATGGGAGGTGTGATGTGCCCAGAAAAAGCATCAACACGTACAGCTGGCAGGAGATCCGGAGACACAATCAGGAGGCGGATCAGTGGCTGGTGATCAATCGCAAGGTCTACGATGTCACGGGCTGGGCGGAGCGGCACCCAGGTGGGCGCCGGGTCCTCCACCACTATGCTGGGGAAGACGCCACGGTAAGGAACTCAAAGCCCCACCCTCTCTCTCTGTTTCAGCTGCTGGGTAGCTGGGAACTTGGCTCTCTTCCCCAAAGCATTTCAAGTACATGTTCAAGCTCCACAGTCACTTATCTCCTCCCAAACCAATTTTTCAGGATTCCTATCCAGCAAGAATTTGGAAGCAAATTAAGCCTCAAGGTCTAGGCTAGCTAGCTATTATACACACCTGGTTAGGGATAGACTCAGATGTTGACAGTAGATACCATGCTTATGTATTCTGGATTTTGTTTTCTTCTGGGCGTTTTGTTTTGTTGTGAAGTAAAGTCACCATCTTTTAAGAAATAGTTACGAACAGGAAAGTAAAATGTGGAAAAAGAAAAATGCACCCAAGGAGAAATTTCTCAGACTCTTATGTCTAAAAGACAGTGATGCATTGGCCAGGCATCAAATGTTGTTAATAACAATAATGAAAACTTACAATTACATAGGCTTGAGGACTTGGCAGAGCCCTTTTGCATTCCGTAATACAACCCACATTTATGGAAGAAGAAATTGAAATCAGAAAGATTAAGTGATTACATCACCCAGCAACAGATTCAGAATTCTTATCATTCTTAATTTCCAGTCTTTTCACTTTTCTTCACTGCTTCTCCTCATCACCACTCCCCACTCCACAAAAATAGCTACGGGAAAAAATATGTAACATTTATTGGATGCCTAAAATAAATACCTTAGACACATTCAAATTCATCATCTCACTTAAGCCTCACCATGAGGAAGGTGGATAGTTTCCCGTATTACAGATGAGACGATTAATGTTCAAAGAGGGAAATAACGTGTCACACAAAGCCCTCAAGTAACAGTGCCAAATTTTGAAATCAGGTTGGTTTTTGATCATACAGGCTTTCATTGAATCCTTAAAAAATAAAAAGTCCATTTAATATTTGATAGGGAGGTCTCTCAAACCTGTAAATGCATTTACAAATTCCTTTTAAAATACTCTTTAATGAAGTTTGCTTTATCCCAATTAGGAATTTATTCTCCATTCTTTACAGATGAAAAACAGAACATGAGAGACTCCATAACAAACCCAAGGTCAGGAAAGTACCATGCGACTAAAGGAGAAATGAAAACCCAGGCTTATTATACTTTTCTGACCTTGTTTATTTCACAGCTTAGTATATAAATTCTCCAACTGGTTTGAAAGCATAGGCTTGAAAACATTGTTTCACTAAACATCTCTCTAAATGGTACTACTGCTAATAATAACAAAATATGTAAGCACCTGGCAAATTTGCAAAGTAAGCAAGATTTTATCTTTTGACACTATCTGTATCTTTTTCCCTCAATTTTGCATCTCTCTTCTCTGACCAGGGTCATCTTCTACGATCTTTCTGTCCTGACTCTGCTGTTAGACATCACTCTGCAACCCCCACCATTTTTGTCAGATCTGTATTTTTAAGACAAAGTTCAACCTTTTCTTGGGAAAATTAGCATGAGCAGGGGATGGGAATACCATGCCTGTTAGGAAGACACATGCTGTGCAGGAATCCAGAGAGCTGAGGCAGAAGTTGGAAAGCATTTATGCTAAATAAAGGAGAAAGATTATCGAAAATGAAATGAAAAGGAATACTACAGATCCCAGCCCCTCATTCCACAACTCAGAAAAAATGTGGATGAAACTTTTCCAACACAAGTCACAGAATTAGCTCAGAGGGTGTGCTGGCAAAGAAGTGGGCCTTCAACCACTGGGGAATAATGAATAGACTCAGCTTGAGGCAGCTCAGCTGATAAATCTGTGACGTGTTGATAATTTTTATCTCCCAGAAATTAGGAAATGATTCTGCATCCACTTCTAACCAACATGGAGAAATTGATTAAAAACTAGAAACCATCAGAACCTTAAGGGAAAATACCTATGCCACTTGGGATTCATATCTTAAGAATGAAAAGCCTGAGGGTTGTCATCCATGTACCTTAAACTTTAAAAAAGCAAATCCAAACATCAGAGAAAAGATTACCCAAAGGTAGAACAAGAGGATGCCGGGAGAATTCTGACAACCGCTTTACTATACAGCTACTCAGAATTCAGAGAGCCTGAGCTTTGCAATGGGGTATGTGAATTTAGGAAAGTTGCTGAAGTGCTCTGAATCTCAGCTTCGTCGTCTGCAAAATGGGAATGACCTTATCCATCTAACGAGTTTATGGTAAATGAGACTCACACTTGCAAAGTGTTTAGCATCAGACACTTTAAAAAGTTTCATTAAATTGTAGCTATTATTATTCATCTCACTAGCACCCACAGCCTCGAGATGTGCTGATTATTTCCTGTTTACCACTGGCTTAGAAATCTTGGTTATATTTGGTGTCATCTGATTGGGAACCCAGGGATCCATGGCGGAGAAGCAACACACTCTCTAATAAAAGAGCATAGAACATAAAGGGGGAGGACTTGAGGTCAAATGCTCCCTCTCCAAATTTAAGAGATGTTTGTAAGCTGTGCCCTGAAAGGTAAATGTGGACCAAAGTATGGTCTCTGGGTACCAGCCCTGGACCTGTGGCTGCCCCTGCCCAGTAGGGACTCCTTTTTCTTATTTACAGAGAAACTCTTCTCCAACTCCATCCTCCTCATCCAAGGTAAATAATGATACCTAAGTAGTCTGTCATTAATTCATTCATTCATGTAGTCATTGTGAAACCTTCCTTAGGGGTACAGACTGATGATTAAGAGCACAGGTTTGGAAATAGAACAGGTCTAGTTTGTATCTGGTCTCTACCACTTACTAAGAATGTCCTAAGAAGGTTGCTGAAACTCTTGGAGTCTCATCTCCCTTATGTAGAAAGTAGAGATAATACCTTCATGTTAGTACTATTGTGAAAGTCAGTGGAGATAAAGTGCTTTCTGTAGTGCTTGGCACAGATTAAATACTCAAAAAGCGGCAGTACTTGCATTTTATTATTACTTAGTTCTTCTGAGATGGGTTGTAAATTTCTCCAAAGAACTTCACTAAGAAAAATAAACCTATAAAACAAAATTGGTACATCAGCTCTGGTTATTGTGCATATGAGTTATCTGATTTTCAAACTATATGATTTTAAACTAATGGCACAGGTATATTCACCTGGAAGAGCTCACTTGGGAAAAGCCAGAAAAACCCATACATCCACAAAGATATGATTATATAGATTACAATATAGCCATATGACGGGCTATTTTTCAATCACTAAAATGAGGATTACAAAGCATTTGAAGACAGGAGGGGCTTATGAATAAAATAGCCACAGGTTTTATAGAAGGCCATAATATGTTCCAGGCTCCACGAAAGAAGTAAATGCAATCTTATAATGCAGACACATGAGCAGCATGTTCGAAACAAACAAAGCAGGCTGATTATCATCTGTGCCAGTCAGCCCATTCCTTATTTCTGAACACCACACTCTAAGAAGGACACTGAGAAACTCAAGTTCTTTCTGAGAGTCAAAGGCCACTACTATAGGGAAGGGATGGCGAAAACTTAGAGGAAATACAGCAAGGTTTGTTTCAACTCTTTGGAGGAATGCAATGTGGAAGAGAGTGGAGATGTATGCAACTCCATAAGGGTTGTGTGGAGTCAGCAGAGGCAAGGCCAGAGCAGGAGAAAGACAGGAGGTGGACAGAGGTGGAGTACAGATGTGATTCATGTCATGAGTAAGCACCCAGCCTGAATGGGCATCCCAGCTTAGCCACTGCCTCTACTTAGCCAGTATTGGCAAATAGTATGTGCTCAATTAACGTCAGTCACTATCATGGTGTAAGAAAGAGATGAGGTGAAGGTGAAGGAGAATATGAAAGAGGAGAAGGAGTGGAAGACAAAAGAGAAGACAAAGGAGAAAGGGTCATGAGTGGAGAGTTATGGAGTCTGTATTTTGCTCTCGCTGTCTGTCTTCTCTCCTTCCTTTGCACATAATGACCCTTGTCTAGCACAGCATCCCTCCTGACCCGCAATCATCACAACAAATCAACCAGGATTTCTAAGTTACTAGGAAAGGAAAGCAATACCCAGCACTAACTGCTTCTTCTCTGGGTTGTCAAAATTTCTTAAATAACCCAATTCTAATTTGAATGATGATTCAAGTTGAAAAATTGGTGGAGGTGTAGAGAGAAAAGGGCTGAAGGGCCAACAGGTGAAAATGGGCCATAAGGAGACTTTATCTTTCAGAAAGGCCAGCCTGGCAGGTAAGGGAAAGATGAACCCAACAAGTGCTGGTCAAAAAGAAGGCAGGAGTCCAGGAAATACACTGAGGGCCTAAACAAGGTGCTGACAACAGGAACGGAGAAGAGGGGATGGGTGCCAACGTCTTCTCACAGACATGATTTATGATTTTGATGAGTGGCTGGAAGAGTAAAGAGGACAGAGGAATCTACACTGACGGATGGGTCTGGCTTAGGTAACTAGGTGGTGATACCCATTACAGGATAGGGAAGCCAGGCAGAAGAGCCAGTCTGGGAGGAAAAGTGGGGACAGAGAGTTCAGGCTGGATCTCAGCTGAAAGTATCACAGAGAAGTATCTCAGGATAAGGAAAAGCTTTCAAATGATGAAGGTCCTCAAACAATAGAATGAGTTGCCATGGAAAAACAACCTCCGCCTCTTCCTGTGGGTGAAGGGGAATCTGGGTGACTTCATGAGAACATTCTCCGGTCCAAAATGGCTCTCTCCACGATCAAGGGCAAAGACTGCATTCTCCCCAGGATTCGGCCTGTTTACAGCTCATGTCCTTCCCAATATATGAGGAGACTTGTTCTCACCATTGCCTTGGAACAGATGAGGGCCAACAGAGACGAGCATAGGAGAAATTATGCAAAGATGAAGGAATGAGTATCTGTAGTTGGGTATTGTATATCCTGGTGAGCTTTTCTGAGGTCTATGTTCCAGTTAGCTTGCTTTTTGAGTATATAAATATATTTGCTAATGCTGTTTTCTGAATTTTGGGAAATGTCAACACACCTCAGAAGATATAAATAATAATAATATAAAAA